GCCAGGGAGATGGCTCAGTGGAATAAGTGCTTCCCTGGCAAGCGCAAGGGCCTGAGTTCAATCCCCGGTTCTGCCAAAAAAAAAAAAAAAAAAAGAAGAAGAAGAGGTATACTCTGCCATAAAGAAGGATACACTCAACATTTCTAAGAAAATGGATGCACCTAAGTCCATGCTTTTTTTTTTGGTCCTTTGGAGACAGGGTCTAGCTGTGCAGCTCAGGCCGGCTTTGAGCTCACACGGTAGCCCGGGCTCATCTCGAACTCACAATGATCCTGCTTCAGTCCCCCAAGTGCTGGGATTACAGGCGGGCACCAGCACACCTGGCACGTCCATACTCTTTAATAAAGTGAAATAAATCAGACACACATGTGTGAATACAGCACTGTTTCTGTTGTAAGAAACCCAAAGTGTAAATAAGGACCCAAATGTATTTTGAAAGGAGGACAATGTACAAATGAAGAGGGTAATATGAGAGAGGGGAGGAGGAAAGAAGAATAAAAAAAATAAAATAAAAACCAAGAAAAGAAAAACATGGAAACAAAGCTTTGTAAGTGGGGAGGGGAGCAGGGGTTGAAGGGAAGGTAGGGGAATGGGGGGAAAACAATTTATATCATGTGCAGATACAAATTCTCTATGAGGAGTGTGATCATTATGTGTATCTGGAGATATGAAATGTACCAATAAAATAAAATAAAAAATAAGAAAAATGGATGCTGCTAGGATGACGCTGCTTTCTTCTCCTGACAAAGGAGCATATGTCTCCTGCCTAAGACAACGGATTCTTCTACATTTAGAGCTGTGAGGAATGGTTTTGTGTCATAATGCATGATTTCTCTTATATGAGAAACACGCAAAGACAAAACATACATATATATAGAGAGCGAGAGCGCAAGAGAGCGAGAGCGCGAGAGCACAAAATAGGAGCTTAAATAGGAAGCAGGGAGAAGTTCCCAAATTACATAATCCATTGTTTTAAAAATATTTCAATATATATGCTAATGTGTCAAATTATTAGTTTCAATTAGTTTTAGTTCATT